GGCGGGGGCGGCGGGGGCGGTGGCGCCCTCATAGCCCTGGGCTGCGCCGACGGCAGCATTCAGATGTGGGACACGCGGCGGGCGAGCACCGTCAACACCGCCCATCTGATTCGGCCGGCCCACGAGGCGGGCAGCGAAATCAGCGGCCTCCGCTTCAGCTACTCGGGCAATGGGCTGCTCAGCCGGGGCCTGGACGGGACGATGAAGCTGTGGGACATGCGCCAGCTGCGGGAGAGTCGGCTGTCGTACACGGCCGGGCGGAGTGCCTTCCAGCCGGTGCACGTCTGGAGTGAGGGGCTGTCGAATCGGTACTCCCAGACCGATTGCTTCTTCTCTCCGGACGATCGACTGGCGGTGACGGGGGTCAGTGTCGACGAGCGACCGGGCAGTGCGGAGCGAGGAAGTCTCCGCTTCTACGACGCCACCGGGGCGAAGGACTTTGGCCTGGTGCAGGCGGTGGAGTGCGGAGGAGGGAAGTCCGCCTCTTCCGTCATTCGCAGCCTCTGGCACCCGAAGCTGAACCAGGTGGTGGCCAGCAGCTCTGACGGCAGCGTGCGGGTGATGTACGACATGAGTCGAAGTAGTCGTGGGGCGTTGTTGTGCAGCTTCAGGGTGAAGCGGAAGAGGAAGGACGTGTTTACCAGTGCCACGGCGCAGATTATTACGCGTAAGTGGGGATCTCTCGGTTTTGTATTTTGAAGATTTTGTATTTTAACTTGTTCTTTTTTCTACTTTTAGCGCACGCCCTGCCGATGTTCAAGCAGGACCGGCGAAAGTCGAAGTTCGTGCAGATGATCAAGGACCGGAAGGACCCGGTGAAGAGCCACCAGCCGGAGCTGCCGGTGACGGGGGCGGGAGCGGGTGGGCGGCTGGCCTCTGCCGGCAAGACCTTTGCCTCCTTTATTGCGAAGAACCTCGGCGTGAAGGCGAAGATTGGCGACGACGGGGAGGACCCGCGGGCGGCGCTGCTGAAGCACGCGAAGGAGGCGGCGGAGAATCCGTACTGGGTGACGCCCGCCTACACCGCCACACAGCCGAAAGCGATCTTCAGCGACGCGGCCACGCTGGCGGCGATGGACAAGGGGGCGAAAGGAGGAGGGGACGATGATGAGGAGGAGCAGTACGAGGTGGACGAGGAGGGCGTCAGGAAGCGACGCAAACATGTGCCCATCTGAGCAGGAGAGGGAGATCATTTTGTGGATCATCATCATCATCACCACCACCACTACCATCATCAGGAATTAAAGAGACGTCTCATCTTACACTTACTTTTCTGTTGTGGTAATTCTCAACGGGTCTCACAATAGAGGTCTCAAGAGGGGGAATGGGGGCTCAAGAGAGGACGAGCGAGAGCGAGAAGGAGCAGGGCTGGGCTATAAAAACATGGCTGCTCGAGGAAGACACTGTCATTTTGCTGTCATCACAGCACAACACAGACATTGCTTTTCTTTTTACAAAAGATCAACAACTTATCTTCCTCAAGAATGTCCACTCTGCACACCGCCGCCGCTCTGGAGCAGCAGCTGCAGGCCATCATCGGCGGCCTGGTGCGGCAGAGCACCACCGCCGACGCCCACTGGCGTGCCCGCATTGACCAGTACATTGAACGACGGCGGGCGGAGAAGCTGGCAGAGCTCGACCGGGAGCTACTTCACCATCAACAGCATCAGCATCAACATCATCATCATCATCAACTACAACAACAGCTGCAGCAGCTGCTGCTGCTCACCGAAGACACGAGCGACAACGTCTTTCTGCGAGAGCTTCAACAGCAGCAGCAGACACTGGCGAGCATCTTCTGCAGCGTGAAGACCGCCAGTCACCACCACCATCAACAGCAGCAGCAGCAGCAGCAGCAGGACAAGGAAGACGAGGAGGAGGACGGAGACTGTCTGATCTCCTCGCCGGTCCTCCTCGCCCAGATCACCAGCGGTCTGCAGACTCAGTTCGAGGAGAAGCAGGAGAAGGGGAAGAAGGAGAAGAAGCTGTCCACTAGCTCCGATGGCAGCAGTGGCTTTGGCACCGCCGCCTTTGGGCCCACGCCATCGCCGCCCAAGAGTCAGTGCGACGAGGAGGAGGAGGAAGAAGAGGAAGAAGTAGAGGAGGGTAGCTTCTAAATCATCGAACATTATCATTTCAATATCATCATTTTAAGCATGTCATATGAAATTCCGAACTGCTGAGCTTTTAATGTCATTATCAACAATTATGCTACAGAGTACCGCTGTCAGCCACAGTCAGTCGGGTAACAATAAAAGGTGTGGAAGGTTGTGACAACAAAATGAAAGGTAAAGGGGGAGGGAGATGAGTGGGAATGGGGAGATTCAAGTAATTAAGAGAGGTAGCCGCCTAGTCTTTCTTCTAGTCCTTGAAGAACTCCGGACTGGGCTTCAGATGCGGGTGGGCGGCGAAGAAGCTGTCCACCGTTTC